AGGTTTCTGACTGGCTGACCGGATGAAACACTACTTCCCCTGTTGCCAAGACATTCACACTGCTCTGGTGTTAGGACAGATATGACCCATAATGACAGTTCTATCTACCAACGATCGATTCCACAGAATACGTAAACAGACCTGACATATCAGGAGCTATGAGCAGAAACTTATCATGCAATGAACAAGAATTTATTTGATATTCTGAGACATTAAAATCAATAGCTGGAGCCAACTGCATGACTGGAGATTCCTTCATAGGACTGTGATTGCCATTATATCGAGGCAAAATTTGAGGATGTTTATCTGGTTGGAGCAGTCTGGAATCGTGGCTTGACTACAGTGAGATACATGTCAGTAATTACTTGTTAAGGATGAGAGCCAAACAGAAGAGTTAAACTGAGCGGCAGACATATACTCGCCATCATCTCAAAATCATCATAAGGGAGTTTGAAGCTGGTGAAGTACTACAACTACAGTGAGAACACGCTCCTATCTTACTGCATTTGACAACAGAAAACACCAGGTGAAAGATCAATGACTTTGATATATTGTTGGTTTCCCTCCAACCTTAAAATATTCAAGTGGACAATAATCATGTTCAAATGAAGTCTCCTACATCAAGATCAAGTAATCATCATATGTTGTGGAAATACTTCAAGGATTTACCTATTTTCTGAAAGACTCATTGGTCTGCAACCAAAATTGTACTGAAATAACCATATCTCTTTCTAGCAACCTTCCTCCATTCATCAAAAATGTGTATAACGCAAAAGTGACAATCGAAGCTGGACTTCAGTAAGAGCCTTTTCCTTTACTCTAAATATGGCTTCTTCATCTTTGATCCTGTCAGTTCTGTGAAGACCGATCAATACCTCATCTCATACTGAAGAGCAACTAATAACAGGTATTATACCATGACCAGACAAATACATAAGAACCACCACTTTCTTGTCATATCTGATTTCGTACTTGCTATGTGGTCAAAGATCATGGTAACAACTCAAACCTGGTTTTTGATGACTTGAAAAAGAGAACTATCTTTAGAATTAAAATGTTCCTTATATTTACAGTTAAATATACCACCTGATACCAATATTCAGCAGCCATTGTGTGCTGATAATCTCCATTTTAGTCTCCTTTCATGACACATTTTGGGTATTTGGAATATTTTCTTACGCTGAATGATCAGGTGTTGCCCAAATCCCTGAAAATCATAACTGTACCAAAAAAGAACATTGTGAAGGAAAACACAATGTTGTCCTCAGATAGCTGCAGCAGTTATATTTGAAAATTCTCTGCAAGTCATAAAGCATAAAAACTTGCCCTCTAAGAAATGTTCAGTAGCATGTTCAATGAAACCTTTCGCAATGTGAGTCCTATGTCACACCCAGTTACAAAGCAAGTGCCTACTAATTACATTTCCCTGTCATGATCAAGATCTGCTTCCCTGCAGCAAGAGCCAGGTTGCCATGCCGTAGTGTTGGATGATGGTGTTTCTTGTTAGGCAGACGTTGCTGTGCCTCTCCTCAGGATTCCCACACAGGCAGACCGAATCAATACACAGCTCCCTCCACTGCCATATCAAGTTTGGATGATTTATCACTAGATTATCATATATGTTTTTATACCATTAGCTGTCATTCAAATGTTGGCCTTTCGGTTTTATGCACGAACTTATCTGCAATTTTGCCTTAGAATGGCAAGCAAAAAATCATTTTGGATGGGAATAACTTAGCTTTAGTTTACATGATGAGTTTGTGTTTGCTCAGGAGTCACCTTTATAGAAAAAGTCTAAGACAGATTTTCTGTCCTTACAAGCATGCAGTTTTCAAAACTAAATATCAGAAAAAATGGAACAGAACACATATTTAGGATCTTTTAAATTAGAATACAATGTAAGGTGCCTAATTTCTAACAGTGTTTATGTGAAAGTGTACAAGAACAATATAACATGCCAGATGAGACTAGCCAAATACTAATTATTACGACCCATCCATCAATCAAAACAAGACAGGAGAGGAGAAACAAATTAAGTGATACAATTCAAATATCTGCTATACTAACAAGGTATTGTTTTCTCTGAAGCTCCTTGTGGACACAAAGACCTATATTTCTGACCCTGGTTCACTAAGGTTAACATGACAGTTATTGACAAATAGGCACTCAGTTGTCCTAATAGTATTTGATAGTAACTGATCTTGTTTTCAGTTAATCCAATTATCTATTATCTATTACTTCCATTACACATAGTTCAGTCCTTCATAAACAAGGCTACAACACTGGACAAGAAAAAAAACTACATTGATTTCATCATTTGAGTGTAAATGACAAAGGTGACCGTGTTGCCATGCCAACTCAATTATGGCTCTAATGAGTGTTACTGAGCACCGTTGTAATGTAACCAGTAATAAGTCACTTAATCATCTCATTCTAGCCACAAGATTTACCGCCGTGGAATACTTTGAAAAGGGTACAAATACATGCCTGGAAATGATCCCAAATGAATGACCATGCATGCTGAGACCATGATGGCAAGAGGCTGACAGTTGCCAGCTAGGGGTCATTAGCTGTCTTAACACTAACTCAACATATATTCATAATCACAGATGAAACTGGTAATGGCTTGTCATGACAAATAGTTTGACAACAATGCTGCTTGTTCACAAGAATAAGACAAAACACCTTCAAACAGCCACAAAGCCAATGGCTGCACTTTCCATTTGTTGAAATCAATGTCTGAAGAAGTAGGATTTGGCTGTATTGAAACTAATCTGATTTTACAGAGATAATTTCTCTTAGTTTAATCTTCTTGTGTACCTTAGAGCTATATGGGTTGATGGTGAGCAGAAATCGATATCTAAATTCTTATTCAACTATTTTTGCATACATCTAATTGAAGAAAAACATGTATCTCCACCCACATAATATTCCAGATATATCCGAGATGAAATATATTGAGTTTATCATTTTTTGTCCATATAATATTTATCTAGTATTAAGAGACTCCTTCTGTAGATAGTTTTCAGGTGCGTGTCATATTACACCTATGACGTCAATGCGTTCAGCCATAGTTATGAATATTGCATTGATTTAATGAGCTTACTATTGATTTTGGTGACATCTCAAACATCCCTGACACTAATCCCTCAAATTAAGAAAAGTCGTGATCATCCAGTTAACACATTTAGCATTCTAAACCACAACCTTACTTCCAGTAAAATGTATGATCTAGTCAACATGATGGTTCAGAATATTGAACTTGGTAACTCTCAAGGATGTTGTCTACCACAAAGAGAATTTTGAAATTTGACATAAAAATAACACAATGTATTCTCGAATGTAATAAAAGGTATATTCCTCATGGAAAATGACGAGGACGTTTTGCATCATTTATGGACCCTATTTATATAAAAAAAACAAAAAAACTTTGTGATACTGAAGTATAGATCACCAGCACCACCAAACTGCGCCAGCCCAGCATCCACGTCTCATTGGCAGATTTAATGCCCGAACTAATACATATATAACCTGAATCCCACTTCCTATTTTTATTGGATAGTGGTGATGTATTCTTCCTCAGAATAACCACTGATCTATTTGTCACTAACATAATCTTTCTAAAAATATGTCTCTTTCTAAAAATATGTCTCTTGTCTTGAACAATCTTCAGAACAGTGGTTCCAGAAATAATTCCACTCATTCTATTTCTCCCAGTGCTAGAATTGGAAAGAAGTACATCACGATTACAATAAAGCTGTAATGGCCTGTATTCCCCAGAGTTTGTGACAGGGCCAGATGCTACTCACTACGTTTACTGTGTGTGGGAGCATTACACAGATACAAGTCCTATCTGCTGAGATGAATCAATACTGAATTAAAGTCATGACACACCCTAGCAAGGTTACAGAGACTGTGTCATAAATAACTTAGTGATATGTAGGCACAGAAACGTCAGTGAGAATAGTCAATATCTGACAAAGAAAGGGAGAAATACAGGCATCTACTTTTAGGCATTCCTTTCCTTCTAGCCTGTTGATCTCAAATCAGTTAGATACCAAGTAAAGTAAAGGATAAAAATGGGTACTGTAAAATATGGCTCTTCCTTTCCCAATTTGTTGTCCTTGATTCTGGTAACAAGTCAGTACTGGCAGCCTTGAAGACAGCCATATCCTTCTCAGACTTCCACATTAATTCACTCATGATTAGATCAAACGATGGATGGATTTCAAATTTCATTGCTGACAAACTGAATGACAAGGTGGGAATTGTATAATCTAAGCATAGAGCAAGACTTTCAGAAATGAATATGAAAGTCATCATACATATTCACAACAAGAAAACTTTGTTCATTACAACAACTGCAAATCTGGGACACAGAACAGAATCATTGTGAAAGTATTTATAACAATAATTTGTAATAATACTTGAGTTTGGTATTGATTTAGAACATCATTATAAACAAGATATTCTTGGTTTGACAAGATCACTTCATCTTACTTCATACAGTTTCATGACATGAACAGAAACACTAAACAGTCATTCAATCACTGGATGTGTAGTCATCAGAGCCATTAGTCCAAGTCAGTTCCTCATCATTCTCTTCTTTTAGCAGAAATGTATTAACATGCACTGGGTGTATTTTAAAGTTGGTATAAATATAAGTTGCATTTTGCAGTTTCAGGTTGCACCAGTGCAAGTTCTAAATGTTCAATTGGCTGCCATATAGCTGGAATATTGTAGAGTGCGGCGTAAAAATAAACTCACTCACTCTAAATGCTCAATTGAGCCCTGATATAACATATATCCCATACTGTCAGAGTTCCAAAATAAGAACTTTAAGAATCTTCCAAGTCCAATCACAGCACTGCCCACAACTGGTAGCCATTCTATTATCCAGCACTCTTGCTTAATCTTGGAGTAACAGAACCCATATCCATTACGGACAAGATGTAACGCTCAGAACATGATACAACAAAATAAGATGTTCTAACACTTACCCATATTTGTAATTTGACCCTCTTGTCTTGTCTGAATACTGTCTTGACTTTGAAGTCAATTCCGACTGTGCTGACGAAGGCAGACGTGAAGGAGTCGTCTGCATATCGGAAGAGGAAGGAGGTTTTACCAACAGAACTGTTGCCGATGATTAACAATTTAAACATATAATCAAAGTTCTGGTCAGCCGCATCTTTCTGCCACTTGGAGTCATTTGCTGAGGCCATCTGAAATTGAAACATTACACATTAATAATGATACACACTGGGTGAATTCAGGGGACTAAACAAATTTTATACAAAACACACACGTGGTCAAGAATGTCATATGCTAGACTGTGTAAAAGTCATAGTGGTCAAACCATCAATATACCACACTGTTGGCCAGGAAATTTGCACTGCTCAAGTTTTCTCAATATCAAAGACCCACTCTCATAGTATAACACATTACATCAGCTAAAAAAAACCTAAGAAATGAACATTAATGTTCAAATCCCTTCCAAATGACATCTACCGGTACATGAATCCTGTTTCAGTCACCACTTACAACAAACAACCGGAACCATGTCTAAAGGCCGACCCTATAATGCAGAGAACACAGCAAAACCTATCTCCTATATAGATGTCACAGAGAAGTATTGATGACTCATGTGAAAAACACTGTTCCATAAATACCATTAGTAGCACTGCTGGTTACACACCTGAAAGGTGGGGAGTGGTATTCCTGAGAGTGTTAGCACTCACTTGTTTGCCTGCACCATTCTGACTGTATACAAGGGAGTAAGAATGGCATATTTTGTATATTGTTCATATCTCGTCATCAATTTCATGAGTACTGAGAAAAAGTACCCTTTACTGGCATTGAACAAATCTGAACTAATTTAGTGTTTCTCACAAAAACAGCATATAAATCAAACACAGTATATTAATACTACATTACACCGAAAGTCAACTCCAGAAAAGGTATATTAACACAACAAAGCCTCGGGTAATTTTGTTATGCATGTATTCTAAAGGTCCATTAAGGAAAAACGTAGCTTTTCACACATGATTTACGTTCATTTCATCTTCAGCTCATTTTAGTAGAGACCATATGTTCTCTGATTTTAGAATTGACCCAAGGACAAAAATACTGGTGTAGAAATTGATTGCTGGATCACTTGTAAATTGGCTGCAACTTCATACAGAGTTTTGATTGGTATTTCAGCACTGATCTGTGTCCTGCTGCTTGAGGAGGAAATTACACTGCCGGGCTGGCGTCATCACACGCTACATTATTTCACTAAACTCTAGGGGTGACTATTTAAGGGGAAACAACTATCGCGATAGTGATAGATTATTGCAACATACTATTGCGACCAACTATTTCCAATACTATAGCTTCTTCTCTGTGAATTGTCTCATTTGAAGTCATTTGCCAAATGAATTTATAGTTTCTATGAAATAAAAACAAGTTGAACCCCGAGTCGCATGCCGGGTTTGCTGCTATGCTGGTTTAAGAGGTAACAGGGGCGGATAACTCTAAATCAAAGTGAACAAATCTGTGGATAGTCACACATACTCTATATGCCACGATAGTTTTTTGTTTCTAACATGACTAATTGCTATCGGAGACTCAGACGATATGATGCATCGTTACAGCCCGATTAAACTCACTACGCTTTCAGCTGATGTTGGCGTGATGCCATTTTGATAACTGAACAAGCATCATTTCATGAATCAAATATGCTTCAGTTAGACCTGTAAAAGGAGGAACTTCTTAACATATCTGATTAAGAGAAAACAACAAACACTAATCAATGTTGATGTACTGTCATCTCAACTCATTTCAGCCCAAATCAAGCTATTAGGCAACATTTTTGGTTTTTAACATGTTCATAGCTATGAAGTAAAATACCTACAAAACCAAAATCATGAAGAATCTGTATTAAACTTAGAACAAGGTTTCTTCTTAAACTTGGTGCAACATACTCAGCATGACCTTCTTGAATTCTCTCTATCCCAACTTAACCTGTCTAAGTGAAGTCAATGGTAACATCATTAGTAAAACCGGCACAGCTCTAATCTCCAAGCCTGAATGGTCATCAGTTGTCAGGCAAGCCAGAGCAGTAATGATATCCTACATTTCCATGGACTGCTCTCAACCAAGTGTCTGTGAACTACACTCTGCACATTGGTCACACTGAAGCACGGACAACACACAGCTCTTACAGGTAGAATACACCACTTCTCACTGCAGTATATTAGTAGTTTATCTCTTATTACAGTATATTAGTAGTTTATCTCTTATTACAAGGACTTAAAAAATATTTATGTCAAAGGTATGCTTGAAAGAAAAAAACTAAGACAGATGTAAGTTTGATTGTATCATCCTTTCTTCACAATAATGGACTACATCATAAGCTGTTTCCTTTTATATCCATTTCAACGAGAATCACTTGGATTTAATTGCACATAGAGCTAAGCATAGGCTATCCAGTTTGACTTATGTTCAAATATGAAACTCACATTTGGGTGTTCAAGGAAAATTCTAGCATGACCATGGAAACCTTAAGCTAATCACATTAAAACATTTGCCTGAATACTTCAAATTTCAGGGACGGTAGGGTAGCCTAGTGGTTAAAGCGTTCGCTCGTCACCCCGAAGACTCGGGTTCGATTCCCCACATGGGCACAATGTGTGAAGCCCATTTCTGGTGTCCCCCGCTGTGATATTGCCGGAATATTGCTAAAAGCGGCATAAAACTCACTCACTCATTCAAATTTTAAATGTGACCTGTTAATAAAGTTCACATTTTCTGTCAAAAAGAAAATTTCCCAAATATGTCAATATTTGACTTACTTCATTTTGATCAGTATGGCTGAATATCCTCACCTGACCAAGTGTGCTAACAACATATGTCTGACATGTCTGAGAAACATTTCATCATTTCTCACACATACTCTGCCACTGAGATGCAACACCTACTAAGAGCTTGAGCTGACACATCAGAATTCTTGCCGAGCTGTCCTTCCAGTATCCAAGCTGTGGTTGCTATGTGTGCAAGCTGTGATGCCCATGTTCAATTCATCGTTCTGTATTCTAGGAGTGGCATTTAGACATGAACAGCATAGGTCTTGCTACCGAAACATTACACAATATGAGGTAACTGATCCTGCCCGAGACTCGCAGCTGCCTACTGAAGCCTTCCCATTACTCTAAGCTGCAACACATACGTCCCTGAGGTTAGATTGTGTCATACATAGTCAGCACAGGTGAGATAAATGCGGTTAAATATCAAACTACCAATCTTTTGCTCTGCAGCCGTGTGCACTATCCACTTCACCAATGAGTCTGTTCTTCGTGAAAGAAGACAATGCTTTGTTTCAGATGACTTTACATCAATTTAATTTTCATTGCTGAAGCATTCGACATGCAATAAATGACAGTATCTGCAGAAATGAAAGAAGTTCACTTGCACAGATGCTCTCTCATTAACATAAATCAGACAAAGATAAAAAAAACCCAGTTCAATATCTTGACCGTTTCTGATCAAACGTGGACATTGTAAATGATCTATTTGTCACACGTCAAACCTAACACATTTTTGAAGCATGAGTTCAGTACACTATGACAGGCTACTAACATCAATGACATCGGTTAGTCACCATTGGTGATGGAGGAACATAGTGTAAATATATTAAAGTATTCACAACGGATGGCAATGTGTTATTTTTGTTTCAGTCATAAGTTTGTAGCTGTACAGTAACCTACACTTGTAGAAAGAGGTGCTTAGTATGGTTCATATTGTAAAGCTCTGGCTTGAAAGATTGAATGTCATCAATCTGCGTGGCCATTTCTCAGATCAACAACTGGACTGTAAGGTCAGGGCTCACATCACTTAGAGACTGCTGGGATGTAACTAAAACACTGAAGACTGAAGCATTTAACAACAAACAGATATAACTGTTCCATTATATATATGGCTATGCAATAGAAAAATCCATCAAAGTCACACATCCGATTTAAAGACCCAAGTGGAAATGCAGCCTTTCAGACTACGTGATAATGAGATATCCCAACTGCCACAGACACAGTTAACACAGCTAAGTGATAATGAGATATCCCAACTGCCACAGACACAGTTAACAAAGCTAGGTGATATTATGAGATATCCCAACTGTCACAGACACAGTTAACAAAGCTAGGTGATATTATGAGATATCCCAACTGCAACAGACACAGTTAACACAGCTAAGTGATAATGAGATATCCCAACTGTCACAGACACAGTTAACAAAGCTAGGTGATATTATGAGATATCCCAACTGCCACAGACACAGTTAACATTAACAAAGCTAGGTGATAATGAGATATCCCAACTGCCACAGACACAGTTAACAAAGCTAAGTGATAATGAGATATCCCAACTGCCACAGACACAGTAAACAAAGCTAAGTGATAATTAGATATCCCAACTGCCACAGACACAGTTAACAAAGCTAGGTGATAATGAGATATTCCAACTGCCACATACAGTTAACAAAGCTAAGTGATAATGAGATATCCCAACTGCCACAGACACAGTTAACAAAGCTAAGTGATAATTAGATATCCCAACTGCCACAGACACAGTTAACAAAGCTAGGTGATAATGAGATATCCCAACTGCCACATACAGTTAACAAAGCTAAGTGATAATGAGATATCCCAACTGCCACAGACACAGTTAACAAAGCTAAGTGATAATGAGATATCCCAACTGCCACAGACACAGTTAACAAAGCTTAACAAAGCTAGATAATGAGATATCCCAACTGCCACAGACACAGTTAACTTGGCTAAGTGATAATTAGATATCCCAACTGCCACATACAGTTAACAAAGCTAAGTGATAATTAGATATCCCAACTGCCACATACAGTTAACAAAGTTAAGTGATAATGAGATATCCCAACTGCCACAGACACAGTTAACACAGCTAAGTGATAATGAGATATCCCAACTGCAACAGACACAGTTAAAAAAGCTAAGAGATAATGAGATATCCCAACTGCCACAGACACAGTTAACAAAGCTAAGTGATAATGAGATATCCCAACTGCAACAGACACAGTTAACAAAGCTAAGTGATAATGAGATATCCCAACTGCCACAGACACAGTTAACAAAGCTAAGTGATAATTAGATATCCCAACTGCCACATACAGTTAACACAGCTAAGTGATAATTAGATATCCCAACTGCCA